GTGTTATGCTTTCATTCAATGTATCTATCAATGGTTCTCTAATATGATTTAAGACAAAACTATGCCAGTTATTGAAAATTGCTTTATAGCAAAACAAAATCCTAGAATGCAATTTTTAAGTGGTTAATTGTATTACTTCATGTAGGTTTGGAAGCATGATTGTCTTTTTTTTAAAAAAAAAAATAATAAAATAAGAAACAATATAAATTGATGTATGAAATTTTCAGAAGGGATGAATAGTCCATGATGATTACAAAGACATTTCCTGTCATACAAAGGATGAATCAAGTTTAGAAGCATCCCTTTTGTTTTATGGAGTTTATCAAACTTAAGAACAATTGGAAACATTTTTGGAGCTTCTTTGATTACGCTGTGATTGTAACTTTGCTCTTATTGGTTTATGGAGGTCGCAATTAAAGTGAATAATAGCTATTGTAGCTTTATTCCCTTTGAGGTTAAATGAATGTAGAATGATTTCTTCTTTATGGTCCTCGTAAGTTACTAGAAGAGATCCTTAAGCAGGTGCGCGAGGAGGAATCGGGGGAAGTTTTGCCCTTCTCAAAGAATTTGGCTAGGGCCCTAAAATATGGAAGTTGTGCTTCAGGTCAATTCCCTTCAAAAGGGAATTCTTCTAAAGGCAGTGTTGTGGCAAAGGAAAAAAAATTCAAAATCAAAAGAACTTGTTAGCTTATTAAGATCTTGGGAAAATGAAGTGCTGGAAGTCCCCATGGACAACAATAGTGAAGTTTTCCTTTGGGCTTTGGTATTAAGGGTTTTATTTATTTATTTTTTATTTTCAATTGCCCATTAAGTCTTATTTGACAGGACTGGAGACCTTTTCTTTGATGGCTTCCTTTTTGTGTACTTGTTTTTTGGATGCCGGTGTCTTCTTTCTTTCTTTCTTTTTTTTTTTCTTAAGGAAAGATGTTTATTCATAGAAAAGGAAAAAGAAAAAGAAAAAAAAGGTGAAGAGACAATGCAGATTAGGAGTAAGCAGACCATGATGTTTCCCCATGAAGCTTCTATCTTGGAATTTTTTAGGCCTTGGAGCTCCCAATAATAGAGTTCTGGTCAAGGATACGATTAGCAAAATGAACCCTGATGCGGTTGTCCTCCTAGAAATAAAGTTCAATTCTTTGAATAGAAGACTAATCAAGTCTAGCTGATGCTCAAGAAAAGTTGACTCATAATCAACTTGTTATATGATGTTGGAGGTGTTCATCCATTTCTTGGGATAGGGATAGTTATTTGGCAAACCACTTGACTTCTTTGTGGAACATTCTCCTTTAAAAGAATAGGAGAATTCTTTAAAGAAGTTAGAGGGTGGAAGGGCTCTAGAGGCTCATCTTCACAAAAGAATTTCCTTGCAAAGAGTTCGGAAAGAGGACACCGTGTTGAGGCTTTGAGGTGAATTGAACCAAATCGGTCAATCCATGGAAGAGATGTGTAAAATTTGTTGATTCCTTTTGAACCAAATTTCAGATAGGAGAGCTTTCACTGCATTAGACCATAGCACCTGAGATTTTTGTGCTAAAGGAGGATCAACCAACAAGTGAAGAACATTCTCCAATGTACATAAAAGATCTAATATAATTTCCACTAACATTGACTTGAGTAAGGGAAATTGAAAATTTTGTTGTCAAACATCTCTTTCTGATATACAAAACTAATAGATTGACAGGGAGATGCAGTGCTGAGGAAGCTTACTTTGTAGAACCTCATAACATTTAAAAATGTTGGTCTCTCGATGGTTGGTTGTTGGATTATATTGTATGACCTCCTTCGAGAGGTAGGAAGATTTTACAATACATGCGGGAATTAGTTTATGCTTTTTGTGAACTTGAATTGAATCCCTTACGAAATATTATTATTATTTGTTCATCAAATTAAGTGGATGAGGTGCATTATTTGAATGAAGACTTAGTCCTTTGTTGTAGGAGCATAAATAATTTGCAGTGTGAGGTTCATTATTTATGTCTTACAAGCCACTTAGTCTTGCTGATAAAATGGCATGCTGATTTCATATTACTTACTATTTTTTGGTTATATTCTCTACAGGTTGAAACTTGAAATGGCCAAAGGGAGCAAGGGACGACGCAGGTTGGCTTCTCGTCAATTCAGGTCAAACCCATATCCACTCCCTCCTTCTAAGAGGGGTTTCCCAGAGGATTTGTGCCCAAAGGATTGTGTCAGCGCTCTGGATAAGAAGTACTGGGAAGATGCAACATGCTCCATATGCATGGAGTACCCACACAATGCTGTTCTTTTACTTTGTTCATCTCATGATAAGGGTTGCCGTCCCTATATGTGTGGTACAAGCCTACGTTATTCGAACTGCCTTGATCAGTACAAAAAGGCTTACACCAAAGTAATTTCATCCAACAATGCACGACCAGTAAGCGCCTCAATTGATAACCCAGCTGGTGTACAGGACCCAAGTTTTCTAGGTGAAAAACATGAAGTGACCGAGCTTGCATGCCCCCTCTGTCGTGTACAGGTGAAAGGATGGACTGTGGTTGAGCCTGCCCGAGAATACCTGAATACTAAAAAGAGGACCTGCATGCAAGATAGCTGCACGTTTGTTGGAAATTACAAGGAACTAAGGAAACACGTGAGATCAGAGCACCCATCTGCAAGGCCTTGGGAGGTGGATCCTGTACTCGAACAAAAATGGAGAAGACTGGAGCGGGAACGCGAGAGGAACGATGTGATGAGCACAATCAGGTCGACAACACCTGGAGCTGTGGTGTATGGGGATTATGTGATAGAAAGAAATAGTATTGGATTTGAATCTGAAGAAGAGGAAGAAGCGGGGTTGAATGCAAATGCTGCAGAGAGGGATGATGGGGGCTTCGGAGTGGGTTTTGATAGCAATTTGGTGAATATGTTTCTTCTGTTACATGCTTTTGGTCCATCAAGTGGCGACGACCTCAACAGACGGCTTAGACATCCGGAGAGGAGTTTCTCTCCCAGATCAAATGAAGGAGCTACTACTACTACAGGTATTATTCCCAACACCACTCCGCTTAGTAGCATTGACTCCATTAACTACGGCAGTGATAATGGAGGAAGTGATGAGAACAACAATGGGGGGACAATACAGTTGGGGGGGCGTTCGGGTAGGAGACGTAGGCATAGATGATCAAATTTGGGGGGCGGGGCACGGAAACAGGAAACAGGAAGGAGGAGGGAGGGGGTAGGAATAGGAATAGGCATAGGAATAGGATTAGGAAGCATTTCTCAGGTACATACATAGCTTAAGAAAAAGGAGGAGAAAGTAGAAGAAATTTGAAATAAAGGAACGCAAGTTGTTGTGGTGGAGTTGTTTTGGTTGCCCCATTGGAAAGGGGAGATGGAAAAGTGGGCAGGTTAGACTGTCCTCCATGTAATTTATATTGTGAATTGTATAATTCTAGGATTGCCTGATCCTCCTCCTCTTCATCATTAACCTCATTTGATGGTTGAAATTTACTTGTAATCATCTCCAAATTAATGTATCTTCTAGACGTTTGTTCTTTACAAAGTCATTATTAGACAAACCAAATGACACACCAATTTGTTTAGACATGGTTTATGTTGCATTTTTCTTAGCTTCCAAACATTGTCTTGCATTGCTTTTTCTCCAAGTTGTATGCGAGATTGACTCATTTTTCTCATCATTTTAACCACGATTTTTTATATCTATTAGGACTTGTTGGGTTGAAGGTTTTGTTTAAGATGTCTGAAAATAAAATGTTTATGAACATGATGTCTCGGAATATGATACTTGAGAACTAGATATGCAAGCAACTAATATTTTTATTTGGTTGGTTATGTGTTAATTCCAATAATTTTATTAACTAGATTTAGGTAATTAATTGATGGTTAGTTAATTTGTTTTATTAATAAAATTATTAAAATAAATTTAACCCACTAACATTCTATTTAATTTTTTATTCATTTTAAGTTGATTTTAGTCTTCAACTAAATTAATTTAATAAAACTATATAATTTTTTTTTTCTCATGATGAGTATAATAATCAAATGGAAGAATTAATTACACCTATTATGTTTAAAAAATTAAATACAATTAATTTATCTCACTTCTAACCTAAAATTCATAAATTGAAATTTATGGTTATTTTTTTAGTTTTTTCTCATACTCCCTTTATAAATTATTTGAAAACAATTGATAATAAAAAAAAATTGATCAAGAAAAAAATGAAATAAAAAATAAATGACGAAAAAGGGTTATAAATAGCAATAATATTAAACAAATAATTGAAGGAATAAAAGAAAATCATATATAAAAGAATAACAAAGAGAAAGCAATAAAAAAAAAATTAAATGGAAAAGAGAGAAAAAACGACAACGGGAGAAAGAAATTATAAAAAATAACAAAAGAAACTCAATATTAATTCTCCCAAAAATTATGGATCCTATAAATGTTAATGTGAGAGTCGAAGATTAAATTCACATCATATTTTTAAATAAAAATCGATAAAAATATATCAAAATCTTGTACTTCCGTCTTAAAATTATTTCTAAATTTTTAATAATATACTTAAATTAAAATAAAATTAAAAATATCTTTGAATTTTTTAGAATATTTCAAAAATATTCTCATTCATATATATTTTTATTTTTTTCAAAAAAATTTAAGAATAATTTTGATTTATTTAAAATATTAATAAAAAATAATTAAAAGGCAACTTCTCATAATCTTTCACTCAAAATTTTGAGTTAATTAAGTTGAGGACGGGAACAACTAGAATAGTAACTCAACCATTTATTTTCAGGTTTGGTTGAGATGAATTTTTTTTATTATTTATTTTAAAAAATATTTCAATATCTATTTTAGCGATGAACAACTAAAATCTAGTAAAACTTAAATATTAAATTTTCACCCATTACAATTGATAATGGATATTTATAATAATCTTAAAAATATATCATTCTAAAATTTTTAATTTTTAAAAAATTTAGTTTATATGAACATCAACGGTGATCTAAAAAAATTAAAGAATGAGGAAAACAAAAAGAATTGGGTGGGACACGACTTGGTCCGGCTTCGAATAATTGACATCGAAAGGCAGAAGAAATTTGTTTGAATCCGAAGCTGAGTTCTGGCAGTATCGTTATTAATTTGCCTTTTACACGATGGAGAGCAGTGGAGGAGGAGGAGGAGGAGGAGGAGGAGGAGGAGGAGGAGGTGGAGGAGAAGATCAGCTGAAGCAAATGGCGGAGCTGAGCAAAACCCTAAAAGAAGGAGAAAGGATTCTGGCGCCAACAAGGCGTCCTGATGGTACTCTTCGAAAACCCCTTCGGATTAGGGCTGGCTATGTTCCGCAGGATGAAGTCGCCATTTACCAATCCAAAGGGGCTCTGGTATGTATGCCTCATCGCTATTATCCTTTTTCCATCCTTCTCTTTTTCCCATTCTCCATTTCTATTGAGTTTTAGTTTGCTTGCTCTGTTCTTCGTTTGCCTCGCTGGGAAATGAAATCATCCTTTGAGCTGCTGCCAGTTAGTGTGATGTGGCTGCTATCTAAATCACTGTATTTTCCTTCGGTGTGTTTAATGAACGAAGCTCAGTGAAATACGCGATCATTTCATTTGATGAAGCACACAATATGAACATAGAATATGTATTGTAAAAACAATGAGATAATGGAAATTAAAGGCCCTTTTCGAGGATTTGAACCCATGATTAGATTAGAGGGAGTAGAGATTGACCGGCTTAACTGTTGAGATTTGTATATACACGTGCCTTTTCAAGTAATTGATGGAGGATATAAGCATTTGTGTAATAAATTTCTTATATCTTTGATGGAAAGGAAATATAAAGACTGTACATGCCTCTTGTTGATTCGATATTGCTCACATCTACAATCATGTTTCTTGAGCTGCCTCTTGTTTATCAGGACCTTCGATAGGATCATCCAGGACTCACTTAAATCCTTGCATCATCCACAGTTCGACACACAATCAGTGTGTTGAAGTGAGGTGAGGCACCCTCATTGGGCTTAGTGCCTAGGTTGCTCCATAAATCATTAATTTTCTTTACTTAAAATTAGTGTCGGGTTTCTGCTCTGTTGTGGGGTCTTTGAGGGAGAGGAACAATAGGATTTTTTAGAGGATTTGAGAGTGTCTCTAACGTTGTAAGATCCCTCATTAGGTTCAATATTTGATTCTTTTTGTAATTACTTGTTATGTCTCATTCTTCTTGATTCAGCCCCTTTCTCTAGTTGGACTACTTTTTGTGGGCTTATTTTTTTGGATGCTCTTGTTTTCTTTTATTTTTTCTCAATGGAAGTTAGTTTTCTCATAGAAACAAAAGAGTACATTCCAGATAACCAACCAAACATAATTATGTGAAGGTTCTTTTTTTCTTTCCTGTAAAATGATGAAGATAAGCTTATACAATTCTTACCATAGTTCGCATGAGTAAGGAAACAAATGAAATGAAAGAAGTTTTTACAAGTTCTGGAAAATTGTATGACTTAGAGTGCAAGGCAGTGACTGTTTTCTATTGTATTTCTGCTATAAGTTTAATTCCCATATTAATGTACCCTAGAAGTCATGTTCGTGGCATTCATGGGGATTGTTTTGTCTCTGCAGTGGAAAAAGGAGATGGCGTCCCATGATGAACCTCCTGGTTATGATCCTCCATCAGTTGTAAAGTCAAAGACCAAGTCAGCTAAGCGGAATGAGAGAAAGAAGGAGAAGCGACTGCAGGTTCGTTTACCTACCCCTTTGGGAATGGATTCTGATGACTGTTTAAATATTGTGAGAATTTATTTGAAGCGGTTTCGTGTGAGTTCATTTTCGGTTTTTTCCCCGGGTAATATAACATGATCAACTGATATGCTGCCTGTTATTGAAACAAATTTATTTTTGCTTCCCAAATGCTGGGGAAAATAACTCAAATTTATGATGCCAATTTTATGCTTATTTTAATTGTCCAGAGAGAAGAAAAGATTTTTTATCTCACTTTCTTTTCTTTTCCCCCATCCCATGAAGTATGAGTCCGGTAGATGATGTTTTCAACTTTATGCTAAGATTTAGCATGTAAGCCCAAGCCATAGGTCTTTTTGCAAATAGCTTACACTAGTCTGTACTAACATTAATTGAATATCAGGTTTCTTTTTGCCTATAGCCCAGGCCATAGTCTTTTTTTCGACTCTTAGAATATCAGGTTTGCGAGTAATAAAATAGTAGATGGTGAAACTCCTTGAACTGGAATGTAGCTGCGATGATTAGATTCAAGTAAGCCGTGGCGATTTCTAGGAATAAGAGTTTCTTTTCAGAAACTCTGAGCTGAGGTGTCTCATATAGTCTAAAAGTTCTGTAATTTAATTTTAGACCTACATTCTAATTTGTGATAGATTTTCAGCAACCGGGGTTATGTTTTCCCGTGAAGGGTTTTTTTTTTTTGGGAGAACCATATATTGAAGGTAGCCAGTAGTACCCTTTCTTTTATTCCCATGCCGCAATGGAATCCAGTTATTATACGTTCATCTTCTGTTAGGACAAAATATAGATATATATATATATAAGAAATTGAACTTAAAAGTGTTAATACATGCCTGCAATGTCTACTTTATGTGAAAAATCATTAAAAATCTCTCTTTAAAACATTGCCAAAAACTTAAATATTCATAAATTCATTTTAAACATAGTATTAGCATCATAAAAGTAACATGGTTGAAAATAGGAAAAACAACATCCTTTACTATCAAACTTTAGAAATAAAATGCTATTAATATATCTCAACATAAATACTACAATTAAATGTAGAAATTGAACTATCGAGACTTGATTTCATGGCCTCCTTTGCTGACGCTGTCATCCACACATGGTGCCCTTGCCTTTACTTGGAAAAATATAACATATATGGAGTATTTAAAAATACTCAGTAAGTGTCTCCATTGTTGGGGTTGAGAAATGTAATCACATGCAACATTGTTTATGGTTGGACCTACTTTGAGTGACTATTCCTTAGGCTCTACTTTTTTTTTTTTTTTTTTTTTCAAG